TAACCAGATAGCAGTCTCTGCACGTGACAGAATGAACTAAGTACAGATCTTGTGTAAGTTTTAGAATAGACTATATATTTGAAACTATACATAAAACTATTGTGTTCTCAAGAGCCCTTCCAAAGCTTTTTCTGGGTCTCCGTTTTTGAGAACTTATACTTTAGCGGAACAGAACGATACAAAACCGGTGGTACACAGAACTAATACAGAATAAAAAAATGACGTTAAAATGTTGTACTTATTAAATTTTTGCCCCCCAGTGGCACAGCGGCATGTCTGAGGACTTACAACGCTAGAATCCGGGTTTCGATACCCGTAGTGAGCAGAGCACTGATAGCCCATTGTGTAGCTTTGTGTTTAATTACAAACAAACAAAAAATAAATTTTAAATTTTCATTTATATAGAAATATCCTCACAAATATTTATTTGTATATTTATTATCTCAACATTGTTATCTATTGAGAATTTAAAATAGTCCAAGCCGATATTTTAGTTAATTTACGCTATTTGACAACAATATTGACACACACAAATACGTTTTAATATATATATACAACAGTTCCATTTTACAACAACAGTTATTACGAATGATTACCACAAACAAAGTTTTATAAACAAAAATGTCACTAACTTACAAACAACATAAAATCTTCTTTCTAGTTCAGAGTCTCCTTGATATCCAGCGAGTTAACTTGAAGTCGATGTGCGTACAATTGCCGAGAAGCTAGCTAGCTTTGTCAGACACCGAATTGTTGTACCGTTGAAGTAAGATAATATTTTCATAAAACCACTAATGTCCGATGAGAATCCACTGACGTTCGAAATTTATAACTGTTCCTGGTCAAATGTCGTAAATTTTCCGGTTGATAAGGGTTAGTAAAATCATTAATAGCACACTGTTATAGCAGGCCAACTTTTTAAGCTCTCTCCTTTGGCGCGTCGCCTTGACTGTTTTTATAGGCGCGGGAAAGGTTTTTCTCGAAAATTCCGACAACAATTTTGAGCTATATTTAACCGATTATGGAAGTGGATATATTGTCGATTCTTACGTTCACGAATGTTCTACAACCTTGGAGAATTGGCGGTAGTTTCGCAGTACGTAACTAACACTGTAAGCTAGGTACGTTTTTAAATATAAACTCAATCCAAACAAACGTTGTCATTAATATATATATATATATAAC